AGAAGTTTTAGTCTTCCCAATCTACAATTTATCTACAATTATCTACATTTTATCTACAATTTATCTATAATTCTACAATTTAACTACAATTTATCTACAATTTCTGGAAATATGTCTTCTTCTTCTTCTTCTTCTTCGAGTTTCAATCTGAAATTCAGTCAAAACCAAGTCTAATCTTCACCAAAACCCCTCAAAATTGAGATATAAACTCCTAAACATATTCCGAATTATTTACAACAACACCCAATCCAAACAAATAATGATTTTTGAGAACCCAAATTTGAATTCAAAGCTTTCAAGCTTTTTAATGGCTATCAATGGTGGAAAATATATGGAAGAACAGATGAAGATGAAAAACAGAAATCTCCTTTCCGTTTCAATATTCTTCTCCTAAATCTGTTCAGAATATTCACGCGAAATCTGTTCAGAATATTCTTCTCCTAAAATTTAGCTTGCATAAATAGGAAGATACAACTGCTATTAATTAGCTTTTAATGATTGGTACAAAAACTGTAGAAATAATGTGGACTGGGCGGGTAATTTAGAAATTATGCACATTTTTTGTAATAAGGTTTCATATATGGTATAGATAAGAAAAAATCCCAATTATAATGCCCCATCACTTGACGACAACTTTAACAATAACATACTCAACGTATTCTTACAGTGTGGAGCTTGAGGAAAATAATGTGTACATAGACCTTATCCCTATATAGAGATAGATTGCTTCCGATAGACGCTCGGCTCAAGACAAGCATTTCTAAGTATGCTTGAATAAGAAAAACAATAATAAGGAAGTCATGTTAAAAATAATAAAGACAAAAATAATAACAAAAGCAAAATAATAATTAAAAAACTCGACGACAACTTTAAGTTCATCCAAATTCAACACCAATTAGTTCATGCTGCAAGAGTAACAAAACTACTTTATTGTGTCTGTTATTTGCACCGGCTATTGGAAAATGACTTTAAGATATTTCTTTACTCGGTAATATGGACCTTATTAATGAAATAAATAATACTATAATTAAACTAATCACTGACTACGTCAAGCTAAACAAGCATAATTATATTGGTCAAAATCTGGCCACTCGGCCACGGCGGTAATTGTATGTGGTCGAATTTGACTGATCACGTCCCCAAGTAAGCACGACCAACCGTATACACACAAGTCCGGCTGAAGGGGACGACTCAAGAACAGTACAAAGGACGACCTTGCAACAATCGGTCCCTTTATAGCATTTATTTTATCTTTATCTTTACGGGAGTTAAAACAGAGCCCCTCCGTTATATAAGGGGGGATTCTCCACTTTCAAGTTTCAACAATTCGGAAAGGAAGATAACAAAATTGTAATATCCTGGACCCTCCAAGGGGAGACAGGAAAAACTTCGATGATGAATAAAATCTCCCAATTATTATTTCTACGAAGTCTTCCGTTTTACTCTTCTGTCTTTGGATCTGGTATTAATTATGATTGACTATGATTTACCCCTCCTTGTATATTGATTGATTTGCTTAAAAATCGTTCGATAATTTTTAAGTCAAACAATTTGGCGCCGTCTGTGGGGATTTCTTAGTGAAAGCACTTAGTTCTTCCCGGTTCGAAGCAAAAGAGACACCAAGAGGTCCTTCCCGGATCGTGGAGGGGGAGAAGCTCCCCCTGTTTCGACTCCCTCTCATCCTCACACCGTGTCAGGCCGGAAACCGACGCAAGGGCCTTGCAAACGAAGAATCGAAAATTATCCTGAAGCAACCTGAATGCCACAGTCAAACAGATAATCATTCAGTTCGACCACGCTCGAATTGGGACTCAGGCTAAGTGCCTTCGCCATCAAAGTATTACAGTTCGACCTCGCTCGAACTGGGACTCAGGCTAAGTGCCTTCGCCATCAAAATATTACAGTTCGACCTCGCTCGAACTGGGACTCAGGCTACGTGCCTGCGCCATCAAAGCATTACAGTTCGACCCCGCTCGAACTGGGACTCAGGCTAAGTGCCTTCGCCATCAAAGTATTACAGCTCGACCTCGCTCGAACTGGGACTCAGGCTAAGTGCCTTCGCCATCAAAGTATTACAGTTCGACCTCGCTCGAACTGGGACTCAGCCTAAGTGCCTTCGCCGTCGAAGTATTACGGTTCGACCTCGCTCGAACTGGGACTCAGGCTACGTGCCTTCGCCATCAAAATATTACAGTTCGACCTCGCTCGAACTGGGACTCAGGCTAAGTGCCTTCGCCATCAAAGTATTACCGTTCGACCTCGCTCGAACTGGGACTCAGCCTAAGTGCCTTCGCCGTCGAAGTATTATCGTTCGACCTCGCTCGAACTGGGACTCAGCCTAAGTGCCTTCGCCGTCGAAGTATTATGGTTCGACCTCGCTCGAACTGGGACTCAGGCTAAGTGCCTTCGCCATCAAAGTATTACAGTTCGACCTCGCTCGAACTAGGACTCAGGCTACGTGCCTTCGCCATCAAAGTATTATAGTTCGACCTTGCTCGAACTTGGATTCAGGCTAAGTGCCTTCGCTATCAAAGTATTACAGTTCGACCTTGCTCGTACTGGGACTCAGGCTAAGTGCCTTTGCCGTAGAAGTATTACGGTTCGACCTCGCTCGAACTGGGACTCAGGCTACGTGCCTTCGCCATCAAAGTATTACAGTTCGACCTCGCTCGACCTAGGACTCAGGCTAAGTGCCTTCGCCGTCGAAGTATTACAGTTCGACCTCGCTCGGCCTGGGACTCAGGCTACGTGCCTTCCCCATCAAAGTATTACAGTTCGACCTCGCTCGAACTGGGACTCAGCCTAAGTGCCTTCGCCGTCGAAGTATTACGGTTCGACCTCGCTCGAACTGGGACTCAGGCTACGTGCCTGCGCCATCAAAATATTACAGTTCGACCTCGCTCGAACTGGGACTCATGCTAAGTGCCTTCGCCATCAAAGTATTACAATTCGACCTCGCTCGAACTGGGACTCAGGTTAAGTGCCTTCGCCGTCGAAGTATTACGGTTTGACCTTGCTTGAACTGGGACTCAGGCTACGTGCCTTCCCCATCAAAGTATTACAGTTCGACCTCGCTCGAACTGGGACTCAGGCTAAGTGCCTTCGCCATCAAAGTATTACATTTCGACCTCTCTCGAACTGGGAATCAGGCTAAGTGCATTCGCCATCAAAGTATTACAGTTCGACCTCGCTCGAACTGGGACTCAGGCTAAGTGCCTTTGCCATCAAAGTATTACAGTTCGACCTCGCTCGAACTGGGACTCAGGCTAAGTGCCTTCGCCATCAAAGTGTTACAGTTCGACCTCGCTCGAACTGGGACTCAGGCTAAGTGCCTTCGCCATCAAAGTATTACAGTTCGACCTCGCTCGAACTGGGACTCAGGCTAAGTGCCTTCTCCATCAAAGTATTACAGTTCGACCTCGCTCGAACTAGGACTCAGGCTAAGTGCCTTCACCGTCAAAGTCATTACAGTTCGACCTCGCTCGAACTTGGACTCAGGCTAAGTACCTTCGCCATCAAAGTATTACAATTCGACCTCGCTCGAACTGGGACTCAGGCTAAGTGCCTTCGCCGTCAAAGTATTACAGTTCGACCTCGCTCGAACTGGGACTCAGGCTAAGTGCCTTCGCCATCAAAGTATTACAGTTCGACCTCGCTCGAACTGGGACTCAGGCTAAGTGCCTTCGCCGTCGAAGTATTACGGTTCGACCTCGCTCGAACTGGGACTCAGGCTACGTGCCTTCGCCATCAAAGTATTACAGTTCGACCTCGCTCGAACTGGGACTCAGGCTAAGTGCCTTCGCCATCAAAGTATTACAGTTCGACCTCGCTCGAACTGGGACTCAGGTTAAGTGCCTTCGCCATCAAAGTATTACAGTTCGACCTCGCTCGAACTGGGACTCAGGTTAAGTGCCTTTGCCATCAAAGTATTACAGTTCTACCTCGCTCGAACTGGGACTCAGGCTAAGTGCCTTCGCCATCAAAGTATTACAGTTCGACCTCGCTCGAACTGGGACTCAGGCTAAGTGCCTTCGCCATCAAAGTATTACAGTTCGACCTCGCTCGAACTGGGACTCAGGCTAAGTGCCTTCGCCATCAAAGTATTACAGTTCGACCTCGCTCGAACTGGGACTCAGGCTAAGTGCCTTCGCCATCAAAGTATTACAGTTCGACCTCCCTCGAACTGGGACTCAGGCTAAGTGCCTTCGCCATCAAAGTATTACAGTTCGACCTCGCTCGAACTGGGACTCAGGCTAAGTGCCTTCGCCATCAAAGTATTACAGTTCGACCTCGCTCGAACTGGGACTCAGGCTAAGTGCCTTCGCCATCAAAGTATTACAGTTCGACCTCGCTCGAACTATGACTCAGGCTAAGCGCCTTCGCCATCAAAGTATTACAGTTCCACCCCGCTCGAACTAGGACTCACGCTAAGCGCCTTCGCCATCAAAGTATTACAGTTCGACCTCGCTCGAACTGGGACTCAGGCTAAGTGCCTTCGCCATCAAAGTATTACAGTTCGACCTCGCTCGAACTGGGACTCAGGCTAAGTGCCTTCGCCATCAAAGTATTACAGTTCGACCTCACTCGAACTGGGACTCAGGCTAAGTGCCTTCGCCATCAAAGTGTTACAGTTCGACCTCGCTCGAACTGGGACTCAGGCTAAGTGCCTTCGCCATCAAAGTATTACAGTTCGACCTCACTCGAACTGGGACTCAGGCTAAGTGCCTTCGCCAGCAAAGTGTTACAGTTCGACCTCACTCGAACTAAGACGAGTTCCACCCCCCGCAACCAAATCACAAATTGATAAAGAACGGAAATGCAAGGCAAATAGCGAGAAAGAATTCTTTATTAATGGAATCAGAAATGCGGACCATCGCCGCTTACATCCGGTCCGAACCAGCCGAAAGAGAAAAAATCGACAAAGAAAACAAGGAACAAACAAACGCCCATCGGCGTAACCAAAGTAAACAAAACAACACAAACAACGAAACAAGTCTCTCTCACTCGGCGCCAATATCGCCGTCGCCATCATCACTTCCATAAGGACTATCATCATCGCCACTTGCACCACCATCGGCTTCGGGCGTCGCCACATCATATCCGCAGTTGACTCGAGCCTCACGAGCTTTCTGGCGTGCCTCCTCGAAAGCCGCCTCAGACACGATGCCCGCTTCCAACAAGTTCTTGAAAATGTCACGCTGAGCCTCAATGTAAACCCAGAGTTCATGAGCCTGGCGAGGAGCAGCAGCACGGGACGGTCCGACCAGGGCCCTCAGCCGCTGATTCTCCTCCTCCAAGGCCGCCACCCGATCCGACAATACCTGGGCCTCCTGATCAATCTCACTGATCCGCTCCTCAAGCCTCGCCTCTCTGAGGGCCGCAGTAGTCCTCTCCGACTCTCGCTCGGATTCATGAACACGGACCGCCGCCTCGAAGGCCGCCGCCCTCGTAGAAGCATCCCTCTCCACGCGTTCCAAATCGGCGACCTTACCTTCCAGTGCAGCCAGCTTCACTCTCCATTCAGAGTCGACCTCCGCAGCTCTGGCCTAGTTTTGCTCCATTTCCAACTGTAGTGCTCGCAACTTGCCCTGCAGATGTTCACACTCCGCGGTAACCCCTCTTCCCACCTCGAGCTCCTCTTCCTTGAGACGGATTTGCTCTTTGAGCTCACTCCTGCTGCGGAGCACCTGCGCCAGTTCACGGTCCTTCCTCTCCAGCTCTTCGCCCAATGCCCGGTTGCGGGGATCATTTCTTAACCGTTCATGCAACTCGCGACACCTATCGCGATAGCGACGGTATTTTCCCAACATCTGCAAAAAGATCCCCGACCGGACATTGGCCCTACGAATGTTCTCTAACTCCAACATGTACGTCTGCAAAACAAGAAGAACAGTCAAACTTACGCCCACTCCGCAACAAAGGGGATATAAACTGGATTCTGGTCTAACATACCCGTAAGCCCATCACAGCCACCTCGTCCATCACTTCGACATCCGAAACACTCCTCAGGGACTCATTCTCAGCCTCAGAACACGGTAGACTGAATTGAGGTACCAGGCTGCCCCCTTGAGTCAACAAGTTCACGTCGGCAGGAATCTCAACGAGGCGGGCCGACCCCCCTGCATTGACCACCGAGTGGGTAATGCCTTCCTCGAACATCCAAACGTCATCAGGGTCCAAGTCAGACTCTGACTCGTATTCATCGACCATTGCACTCTTCCCCCTCTCCGCTGCCGAAGATGATAGTGGCGCACTCAAGGTCGCGACGGCAGCATTAGGGGAACGATCCTCCGCTACAATGAGATGTTCTGCGACATCTAAAGCGAGAACTCTCGATCGGGCTGCAGTAGCAGCAGATCCCTCCTGGCCCTGGCTAACGGGAGCGGCTCCGACGATCCGTTCCCCTTCGGCGGTAGATGCTGCTGCAACTCCTTCCTCTGGGTTCGCCGGGGGATAATCCAAGTTGATTACTGTCGGAGGAGCCATCTCGAAACCAACCCTCCGCCTCTTCAACGGCCCTTCTTCCTCCCCGGTCGACGGCGAGTCAGCTTGAGGACGAACGACGCCAGATGGACCCTCATCCCGAGACATAGTCTGGGTGGGAGTGGTAAAGGCCACTGACTCCACAGACGCCGCCCTCGATGAAGGACGAGCTGAGGGTCCCGCACTGATACGAGCGGATGCAGCCGGGCGACGGAACGCCAACTGAGGGGCCCTAACTCTGTGAACCCTCCCTAGTCACAGCAAACAAAGCTCGAAAAGTAAGATCGATACAGAAGAAAGGTCAGAAGGTAAGGACGTTATCTCACCTGTAAGGGGCCTACGCCCGAATCTCCGATGAAACGTCGCCCACGTACGAACTCCCGCTGTATGAGGAAGGATGGCCTCGACCCATTCCGGGATCCCCACCAAAGGAGGCGGTGGCGCCTTCTCGGCTGCAGAACATCGAGATAAATCAGTATATACAACACAAGATATAGGGAGGAAGAGGCCGAAACAGACTCTGTTAGCCAAGGACGAGGGCTTACGGGCAAAATTCCACACTACCGGAAACCCAGTCGGGTCCGCCACAAGATGCTCGGTCCGCACATAAAAAAAATTATCAAAGAAACGGTGGTTGGTCCTGTCATCCATCTTGACCACCAAACCTTTCGACCCACGAGGACGCGCGTGGATCATTGTGCCGCGGATCCTTTAAGGAGCGAATAGGCTGAGCACATGCCTCAGAGTGACCTCACGACCAGCCAGTTCCGCGTACTTGATGAACATAAGGAAAAGCTTGTACAGATAAGGAGAAATTTGGGCAGGGCACACCTCATAATAGCGACAGAAGTCGACCACCAACATTGGAAGCGGAAGTGTGTACCCCACAAGGAAGGGATAAGCGTACAACGAGCAGAACCCGGGACGGTTTATCTGGACCCTTTCATCCTTTGTGGCCGGAACCATCTCGATGTAACTGGGAATGCCCCATCGCGCCCTCAACTCCTTTATTCCGACCTCCCCCAAAAGGGATTTAATATCTACATGCTCCATGCCCCCATCGGCGCTGAAGTCTTCCACCACCTTCCCCGTACGGAATAAAATTTCCTCCACTGAAGGGACCTCCTCGCTTTCCATCAAATCTGAATCCCCGTCCGCCGGAGCGTGATCCCCAGTCGCCGGTGGGATAGCCGGAAGATTATCGTGAGAGGAAGTTCCCGCCATCATTAACCCAAAGGAAGAGGAGGGAACTCTGTTGGAGATTAGAAGAGTGTTGCGAGAGAAGAGGCAAAGAAAAAGCGTAAACTAACCAAAGGAGAGATATCCAGAAAATCCTCTCGAAGACAAGCGAAGAAATGTGAGAGACAAATGACAAGGCTCATCCAATTTATAGGACACGAATTCTCTGAGCACGAAAACCAACGGTCGCCACTAGGATCTGACCAGGCGTGAAACGATTCAGCTTCTCGGGAACATGCGCTATTATAACTACTTACACGAAGTGCTGCTCCATTTGTCCAACGTCACTTCAGCTTCGATACCATCGCAACAGTACGAGGGTATCAGAGAGATCCCTTCGGGCCGTTCCGAAAACTCACATGAAATAAGGAATAATATGCACATCGAACTCTTAATATGATTACGTCACAAACATGATCCGTCCGTCGAGATCGGTAGGATACGACCCCGACAGACGGAGGGACTAACTGTATTGGTCAAAATCTGGCCACTCGGCACGGCGGTAATTGTATGGGGTCGAATTTGACTGATCACGTCCCCAAGTAAGCACGACCAACCGTATACACACAAGTCCGGCTGAAGGGGACGACTCAAGAACAGTACAAAGGACGACCTCGCAACAATCGGTCCCTTTATAGCATTTATTTTATCTTTATCTTTACGGGAGTTGAAACAGAGCCCCTCCGTTATATAAGGGGGGATTCTCCACTTTCAACAATTCGGAAAGGAAGATAACAAAATTGTAATATCCTGGACCCTCCAAGGGGAGACAGGAAAAACTTCGATGATGAATAAAATCTCCCAATTATTATTTCTACGAAGTCTTCCGTTTTACTCTTCTGTCTTTCGATCTGGTATTAATTATGATTGACTATGATTTACCCCTCCTTGTATATTAATTGATTTGCTTAAAAATCGTTCGATAATTTTTAAGTCAAACAATAATATTGCATAGTATTACTATATTATAGCATAGAATTAGTCACAAAAGATAATATAATTATAATATTTCGCATAGTATTGCGACATAAATGTTTTAACAAGGAAATTGAACACTCACCAAATGGAGTAGAATTTAGGACAAGTACTCGACATAGTCAAATCATTTCGTTTATCTCATTATTCGTGTGTGGCCACTACTTCTCTCTTTTCCTCTTTTAAATAATGGTACCTCCTAAAAAAGGACCAATTTAGAAAGAAGTTAGTATCTCCGTAAGGCTAAAAAAAATCTATATATTATTAAAAGGAGAGGAAAAAATCCTCTCCTTAAGTCAAGTGGCAACCTAAAAAATGACACATGGCATAATTAGTTATTTAGTTTATAATTAGTTATTGGTTATTATTTTTGAATTTAAATATATATAAAAATTAAAAATAATAAAATAAAATAAAAAACTACCATATACATATATATATATATATGTATATGGTAGTTTTTTATTTTATTTTATTATTTTAAATTTTATTTTATTATTGGGTGGGAGTAGTTTCAAGTTGGATTTTTAAATTATTTTTAAAAAAAATAGCTATAAAAAATGAAAAAAGAGAAGAACTACCCATTCTAATCGGGAAGTAGTTTCAAGTTGGAGTTTTAAAATCTATATCTTCTATATCTATATCTATATATTATTAAAAGGAGAGGAAAAAGCCATCTCCTTAAGCCAAGTGGCAACCTAAAAAAATGCCACATGGCATAATTAGTTATTTAGTTTATAATTAGTTATTGGTTATTATTTTTGAATTTAAATATATATAAAAAATTAAAATAATAAAATAAAATAAAAAACTACCATATACATATATATGTATG